AGTGAACACTGATAACAAAAACAAGTAATCCTAGTCTTGCACTAATTGAGGAATTCTCAAAGGCTTTTCCCATGTTGGCATTCGTGCAACTTGGATGCGTGCATACCTGACTGGCATTTGTATTTGTGTGTTTAAATGTGAGTAGACGTGCATAAAGCTATGACCGAGAGCATATAAGTAACCACGTGTAGTAACAAGATGAGGTGTAGCAATGTGTATATGATATGTATTCCATCTCTTTTTGATGCCAACATTTTATCAACGCTGTTTTTTTGTTTTTGCTAAATTGTGGTGCATGGTATCAGTGTTAGTGCATGTGGAAGCATTCCAAACAATCCCATAAAAGGAACCAGGTTTACCCCGATGGCGTGCAAACGGCAGTTCACATTGGCAAGAGTGAAAAGATTAAAACAACCAACATTTTATGTGGTTTAAAACGTAATTGGTGACGGGCATGCAGTAAATATGGTGACGCGCTCTGTGCAGATGTTTCTTAGTGAGACATGTGCAGAGCTGATGGTGGAGCACATTGATGTGTGATGCAGTTTATACTACAAACAAATAAGGTTTTGGCGTCTCTGTGCCCATCTCATATGAAGTCAGTGTTTTTGTGTTGTTGACTTAATGTTAAGTTGTACGCTTACTGAGCCTGAATTGCTACTCCATTTAGGTTAAAAGCAACACAAATGAACAAATCCAGACGCAGAATCTTAGTTTATCTCCAGTGAAGTGGCCTTCATCAGCTCGTGGACTGCAGCTTGTGACTGATTGCAAAACAACGCCCTTATAGCAAATACATAAATTTGATTAGGTCCCTCTTCAGGCTCGTAAGTAGGCCTTTAAAGGAGGCACATCACTCTTCAAAGCTCCAGAGAGGCAGAATGCACTAGTGGCAACAGGGTTTCTCAGGCAACATTTCAATAAAGTTTCATTAATGTCATGACTGCATGGTGGGAAATGCGCTCCTGCACTCTCTCCATGAGATGGGAAGCAGGTTTTCCATCAGCCCAAACTGTGTGGGAGATGTAGAAGATGGCAGTCTTCACAAGGGGCCCTGAATTACTTGTAACCAGATTTGAGTTTGCTTCCTACATGTATGAAACAATCGTATTGGAAGAAACTGTATTATGTTGACAATGAAGCTATGATCTCCTTTTTCTTACCTTGCGGGTGTGTTTCATGTTTATTTTTTTGTATTTCAAATAATTGCACACACACAAGCTGTAAAGTGAAGAAACTGTAGTACTTAAGTGAGGCTTAGCTTTGTGCATATGGCTTTACACGAACAATGAACTTTAAACATACTTTTCACGTGGCACTCTGTTCACTGCACTGTATTAGGGTAAAAAATAGCATCTCTTTATCCATTGTCCCTCTCCACCCTTCCTATCACTCCGTCATGACTGTCTTTCCTCACAATAGAGGCATGTTTTCTTTTTTGTCACACTGAAAAACAAAGACCAGTAGCAACAACAACAGCAAAAAACAAAAAGCCTTTTGAAATGCTGTAATGCAATTGAACTGCTAAGCACCGAGTTGTATTAGGTTATCAGTGGCTGAAATCCCTTGTGGCGTGAGACATAAATCAAACACGTCAGTCCTTTTTTCATTCTCTCCTCCCTCTTTCTACAGCCTGCTGACTTTTCTGGCAGTCTCAGTGGGGCTTCAACCTTGACTAACCCCTGACACATTCATTTCTTCTAGAACTAGCCGTGACGTTAAAATCCTGATTCTAATTGCTTTCGTTTTGTCAATTTGCTTTTATTGTATGCTTTTCATTAATTGTTGTTAAATGGCTACATTGAATGTGCTACTCTAAAGGCAGTAGCCTCTTTTATTTTTAATACAACCATCCATGGGCTCCAATTTCACCTAATGTAGTTAACAAAATTTTCATTTTGTTCCTGATTATCTGATGAGCTAACTGAACCCACGATGCACTAAGAAGGGGAATTGCAGTCCATTTGTTTCTCTTTTGTGAGAAGTGTAACCCTAGAAGCTCTTGTGTCATTGCCAACACTGAGCCAAAGTGGCAGGTGCCTGCTATAGTATCTCCCCTTTGCCTTTCCCCATTTCTCTGTTCCCACTGATTTGAGGTCAGACTTGTCGCCCGAGAGCTCGGTGCCCGTCGCCATCTTTGTGTGAGTTGCTAGAGCTGTGCAAGTACAAGTCAAAGCCATCCAGGATCTAAGTTCTGAAATCAGCCGTCATCAGCAATCATGAGCTCTCTCTCAATGCTCCAAACCAGCAAAAGACTCATCTACCACAGGGATGTGACCCTAGCCTGTCGGGCTTTATGAGATTCATATGAACTTGCATCACAGCTTAGCAAAGACCTGATATATATAGTGGCAGTGCTGATGGGGGAATTTTAACTTTTAAATTTCAAGACAAGTGTGGCTTGGCAGCAGTCCTGACGCACCCTGACATGCCACAAGGCAGATGGTGCGTCCTCAGGAACTGCTGCACTCCTGTCTTCACAACTTGAAGCTCCTCCTCCTGTAGAGCAGTCATTAGTGCAGTGGGACAGGAAGGACACATTGGAACAATTAGGAAATATTAGGCACATCTGAATATGAACAATGATTCATTGGTTAAATCGTAGGGCTTTACAGAGTTTAAACTTTATTATTTTTCATTCACCATAAGGTGGAGGTAACAACATTGTAGCTCATAGTCACTTTAAAAAATATCTGTACATTAGACATTTCTGAAAGCTGGATTTCTGGTCCAAGCTATCAAACAAGGCGGACTATATTTTTCAGCTGTCAAGTTGAAGCATTTGACTTATTCCTGACTGCATTTAATCCTCCTGTCCGTCGCTATCAGTAAGTTTCATCACGTTCTCGAGCTTGGTTCGTCCTACGTTATGTCAACAGGAAAGGCAAAAAGATGATGTCATGTGTTTGGCATGGCTTCGTGCATAGCTCAGTAAGTTATTCGCATTATTTCCTGAAGCATGTCCACACATCATTTAGTTTATGATGAAAGTGCAGCAAGGTGGTTAGGTTCATGGAGTGAGTTTTGCTAAAATGTAACTAGGCAAGTATTCAGCAAAATTTACCTCTGTGATCTAAAACGGAGGGAAGTCTGCCAAAACATCACAAAGGTTGTTTCATCTACTGTCTGCGAACTGTGGATTTTACTACATATATCTATATTTGAATCTAATGCCTACTATTTTTTTAAATTTTTTTATCATTACTAAGTAATTGAATTGTGTTTGTTTCCTGTGAGGACCACTTGTTTTTAGGCCTGTGTTGTGTTTGTATCAGAGGTGAATTTAACATGCAGAGTGATTACTGATGGCTGGGTTTTCATGCCACAAGGAGCAAGATGGTACTGACAGTGAAACAGGAATGCATAATTTCTTAGTGTCTTTTGAGCTGCAAATATGGTTCTTGTCAGAGTGGCTAGATTTTAATCAAATATGTGCACAAATCATTTATATTTTATGTGAACCAAAAACAAATAAAGGAAATGTTTGCATTAGATTTTTCCCTCTGCTTGAAGTCACAGAAGCAAAACATTCAAGGAACCCATAATCACGCTGCGGCAAAAAAAAAAAAAAAGTTTACCCGCAAACAGATGGAGAGCGAGTCCTAGAGAAGGCAGACTGAACACACACAGCTGTTGTGAACACATTCATTCACGGCACAATTTTCCTCTGTTATTATTTTTTTTAATCCATGTATAAGCAGCGTGATTTGTGCAGGAATATACCTGCCAGGTCTACTTTGTCACTAAGTGGCTAACAAATTATTCTCATTGAACCTTCTGGTATGTAACGCTTGGAAACTTTTCAACATGTCTCCTAGTAAAAATCAATTATTGAGTTCAGGTGACACACAACATCAGTGCTATTACTTTACAATTTAGACTTGTGTCAATGTGGTTTACTTCCTGTGTGTGTGTGTGTGTGCGTGTGTGCGTGTGTGAGGGACACTCCCATAGTTGGCCTACATGTGGAGGTTTGTTCCTTCTGGGGCAATGATGTTCAGTGGTGGTTCTTAGAAAATCTTGCTTGGTGGAGACGCAGTTTGGCGGGCATGAAGCAGAGTCCATATCCACTCCCCGCCCAGCTCCTTCCAGCTGATGAGTGATGAGCTTGTTTATAATGAAACCAAATCCCTTCCTGTTAGACATGAGTCATCGGGTGTAGTGCCAGTCATTAACTTTGTTACATACTTGCTGAGGTGTTTTCCAATTTTCTGCACTGGCATTAACTAAAAACACATCAGGAAGCTTACAAATTGTAAAAAAAAAAAAAAAACGCTGTGTCCTTTTCACCTGGTAGCTGTATTGGAGTCTAACGACTGGTCTGAACTCCAGCAGTTGCCCACCCTCATTAGATCCAATGTCCGAGAGCACAAATGGCTCAATTAGGAGTTTCAGTTCTCATCACAAGTATCTTTATTGTCAACACAGTGTTCTGATAAATGAAGGTAACATTTTCAGAAAACAAATCTTCCCCAAAGGCACCATAGTCATGTTCTTGCTCTGCTCCCTACAGCTTTGAGCCAAATTTCTGGGTCTCAGGACGGCCACCTAATTGCCATCTACTGCACAAAAACACTCAGCAAGAGAGAGAGAGACTACAATTAGCTGTGGCTCGCTGCAAGTTTGGCATCAATCTGCCAAATTGTTTCTCTTAAGATAGTTGAGTAGTTGTGGTCTTCTGTCCTCCATTCTTTTGAAATGTAGGCCTGTCACAAGACTATCATATAATTAGGCTGACCGGCAGTAGCAGAGATCGTGATGTAAGCTGAGGCATTGTGGTGCTGTGCTGAGGCAAACACAAGTGGGCTGTTATTTATGTAGTTCTCCCTTTATCCTTTAGCTCACTGCCTCGGATCTTACTTGGTTCTGTCTTGGGCCACAGAAATGTTTGCCGTTGTATCTGTTTTTACAGTACACCCATTTTGTAGTGTTTCGCAGAACTTTCAGTTTCACTTTTCCCCATTCCTTAATGGCTTTCTTATTTGTTTAATCTTTTGCAGCTGATTATTCTTGAAGATTATGCAGACCCTTTTGATGCTGAGCAGGCTGGTGGTGCTCAGACTACCACAGAGAAAGTGACAACTGAGAACGACGGCTACATGGAGCCATACGAGGCCCAGAAGATGATGGCAGGTATAGATGAACTATTTAATTCTTATTTGCTGTTCTTAGTTTTCTCAATTCTATGCAGCTGTACTTGGGTAGAAATCCCGATTTTTTTTTTTTTTTTTTGGGAAAAAAGGAAACGTGACCACCCCCAAATAATTTGAGAAAACTACCAGTTTAAGCAATATAAAGAGAAGAAAGCATATCCACCAATTATAACAGCAAAACAATGCATTTATGCCTTTCACAAATTTGTCATCCCCTTTCATCAACCTAACCAGTTTGGTCCATTGATCCCTGGCAAGAGGAGAGTGCTCCTAAACTTTGAAGGGTGCAGACAGTTTCATTGGTTTTCTGTAGCACAATTCTTAGCTCACTTGACTTTTGCATACGGGAATGGGTTTCAAGTCTCAGTGAAAACTTGGACATTTTCTTATTCTACTCAAACTAAAATATTTAGACTTTTTTTTACACGACAGTAATATTTCTATAATGTTTAAAGGGATTTCTGTTCAATAGGAACAATAGTTAGCAGTGCGGTCTTGTTAGCAGTGCAGTCCCGTTAGCATCATGATGATAATAACGACCGTGGCAATGGACAATGACTGCCCTCCAGAACCGGGCTCGGCAGACGCAGAACATCCAAGGTTTCCCTGCAGAACCGAACTGTTCCGTAGAGTTCGGTCCGTGCAGGCAAATGAAGGATCATGGAGACGGCCGCCATGACAGGCCGGATCCGGAGCCTGAGCCTGAGGCTGGAAGGGAACCAGGAAATCAACCACAGTGACACGATGGCAAGGCAGGGACACACAAAACTCCAAAAGTGTGTCGCGGTCATACCCGTAGCATGGGTGTACACTATAGGCACAAAAAAAGGTTAAAACTAAAGCAACAGGAACAAAAAAAGGCCGAGTCGAACTGGAGCTCCCATCAGTGCTGCCATACTGTGGCATATGTGACATCTCAAGCTCCTTTAAAGAACAAAAATGAGCACTGTGGAAGGTGAAGATGTTCAATCTGTGCTCTAAAGTTAGTTTTTGCATGTGCTCTATGGCGAACACTGTAATGAGTGGTTAACTTTCATTTCGCTTTACATCAGTATATTATTTATAACAGTATTTATAACATTATAACAGTATATTTCACAGTATTTTAAGAGACAGCACCCCCCCCCCCCCCACTATCGTATCACCTTCTCCCACCTTCACATAGTTAAGTGACAGTCAATTTGTGTCTTTAGTATGACTTCATACTATTTATCTTAAGGATGAGCCAATTAACATTCATTGAGGTTTGACCACATGAGTTAATGCAGCACGTCAGATGGCTTCATGCCATTTTACATAACAGGCATAAAATGAAATGTGCATCAAAATACGTGAAAAACATTTTTAAAAGATGAGTTCGTTTTCCCTTTAATATCATGCAATCTAACTGATTCACTGGGCTTGGAGCGATAGCATCGAGGGGACTTTTTGATTCCACTTGCGGTGATTTCCAGAAAGACATTTACTGTCTTTTTTTTGAGATAACGATGGCTTTGTGCTAACTGAAGAATTTCACCAAACCACATTCTCCATTGTGGTGTGTGTGGACATCATTGACAGACAAGGAAATGCAGAAAGAAAAAAGAAATGGTGAAAAAGCGAAGCAAACAAATCATGTGGCAGATGTTTTTTTTTCTTTCTTTCTTGAGCAGATGAGGGTGTTATAAAAATGCTTTCATGAATGACAAACCTCAAATTGATGTATCTGGAATTTACTACAAGATATGAAATATATCTAAGCCTGACTATTTACCCATCGTCATATACAGTACCTGTACCTCTACTATAATATTGCTCCTGCTTCACCCAGGAAGGCACTTTATGAATGTTTCTGTCTCTCCTCAGCAATTTTCTTTTAATGGCCTTACAGACAATCTCCTGTTTTCATCTGTCTCACTGGTTTGACCTCTGGTCTAGTCCTACTCTCAGCAGAGGACAAAAACTGAGGATTTATTGCTCCTCTTAAAGCCAGGAAGTTGTAAAGCAAGAAGACAACTTGACAAGGTTTTTGTGTTATCCACCGAGTCTGAAACCCACTTTTTTGTGTACATTTCCTAAAATAAAAATCAAAAACTTATAGCTTTATTGTGAACCAACTGTTCTGGCAGCAATTGTCTGATTTGTTACATGTACTTAAACCTAATCTAATTGCCTTCCAATTTCCTGTTCTTCCGATTTTATTTCATAGCAAGTTTTCAGTTTTGTTTTGGGGAATTTATTCCTTCATGGTTTTAGTTCAATGACAATTCATTTAATGGCACACTATTTGAGCTTTAAATAAACATAATCAGTTGGGAAAAGGAAATACAATTCATTATCTTCACCTACAAACGCGTGAAACAAACTGTTCAGCGTAGAAACTCCGACGCCACTGATTATGTTAGTTTTACTTTAGTTGGATTATAGTCTTAGGAAAATCGACTAGTCTTTATTGCTTTGCGGAAATTTGTGCTTTTGGATGACTGAAACACAATTATGATGTAGCATGTAGACAGGGGCACTTCTCCAAATCCATTCACTCTCCCACACACGTTCACACTTTTATGGCACCAAGTTTAGCCCTGCGTATGTGTTTGGGGGGTTAAATGTGTTGCCCAAGGGCATCTCGGTGATATAATGAGGGTCAGCCACTTCCACTTTTTCCCACTGGGCAAGGTCGACTGCTTCTAACAATACATCAGCATACTGGCTGCGGCTGTAAAATAATTGCTGCATCTCTCACTCTGACAGCTTATTGGTCAGGCAGAACTGCACACACAGAATTTTGCCAAAAAAGAAGATGGGCATAGGATGCTGCATGGTGATGCTAAAGGAAGCTTGCATCTCTAATTCTATATAATTCTGGCACTGTTGCTTAATTTTGTCGTCTGAGTATTTGTCTCCTCAAGCAAGGATGTTGTGCTAATTTAAAAAATAAACCTATGCTGTTGACAATAACTATTTGCTTCTTCACACTTGTAGCTACAGGTTTCCTTTTCTCAGTCATACACAGAGGGGTACAGATGGACCCCCGACCTTAAAAAATGCCACTATAAATTACTGGTAAATATAGCTGTGAAGGCTTGTTTTCAGTTTATTTACTGTTAACTCAACTTGTTTCAACCATATAATACTATATACTCTCAAACCACTTTAATAGTTTAAAGTTTGAGGATCACAAAGATGTGCTCTTTATAAGAGTCAGCTGAATTTATGTTCAGTCTCTTTTCACCAAATCCTGACTGAGGCTTTTAGGCCTCATGGTTGAACAAGAGTTATTTAAAAGTTATGTTTGCGTTGAACGTCTATTTACTTCTGCAAAAGTAGAGTTGCTGGAGAAAACACCCAGGTGACAGAAATAAATCAAGCTTTGTATTTTGAGTGACAGACTAAATAGAACAAAATATTTTTTCAATTTGAATAGTAAGTTGTCTGAATCTTGGTGTCCCTGTAACCAGTTAAGCTGTAGGAATTAAGGGAATTTCTTTTTTGCGAATCATTGATCAGTCACACTGATGTAATGTTCAGGACTGGTATTTCGATTCTTTAACATATGATGCATTCATTTCAGCAGTTGAACATTTTAGCTAAATTTTTCATGTTTCCACAGCTCTCAGCAGATATTTGGTAGTGATCAGGCAAGCAAGCGGCCCTGCAAAGCAATAATGTGGCTGAGCCAACCCATTAACATGTTCACAAAATCAAGATTACTCCTAATCACTCAGATTCCCAATAAACATAAAACAATATTTTTGAGAAAATACATCTTATGTGTATGTATATATATATATATATATTAGAAACATAGGAGCTTATAGCTCATTACATTCAAGATCTTTCTTTGTAGGGTTGTTGAGCTCTGCCTTAGCGATCTAGCGAAGGGTTCGGAGTAGAGCTGCTGCTTCTCTGCATCAGAAGGAGTCAGTTGATGTGTTTATTTCAGGCATCTAATTTTGATGCTACTTGAGCATCTTTCCTTTGGTGGCTTTCTGGGCACGTCCCACTGAAAGGTGACCCTGTGGCAGACACGGAACTTCCTCAAGGAATTCTGTATCCTACTGGCCTGGGAACATCCTGAGATCCCACAGGAGGTGCTTGCGAGTGCTGCTGGGTAAAGTGGGGTGTCTAGGTCTCCCTGCTGGACCTGTTGTCTCCCCCACCTAACCATGGATAAGCAGAATAAGATGGATGAAAACTGATAGAAAACATTGATTATAGGTTTTTAGCTTTTATATTTTAATCTTACAAGACGGATTCTGGACCGGTAATCTAATATTATCAAAACAAATTACTTTTTGTGTGCAAGAAGATTATTTTTTCCTGTTGAAGCTGACGTACTGCTTTATGGGATAGGAAATAAACAGAAGACAGTTGTGTTTGGAGATGAGCTTAATTGATTTACATGTTGTTTGACTGCTGAAAATCTTATGACAAATCATTCTAGAAATTCCTAAACTGAAAGCTTGTTGAATGACTTACTGATATGATTCTTGTGAGTAAATTTAATTTTGTGAATGGAAAACCTAAATCCTTTAGTTGTGCTAACAAGGAGATGGATTAAATATTGTTAAGCAATACATTGCTGTGGATATTTTTTTCCTTTGGCATTCATAGTTAGACAGATTGATAAAAAACTAAACGTCTCAACAACGAATAATTTGTCCAGAGGACCGGACTCGATCTTGTTGGAGGTAGGATAGATTCATTAATGCAACCTTTATTTATACAGGTTAATCCCATTGAGCCTCGGGGACTCATTTACAAGAGACCTGAATTTTAACAAAGAATGATGACAACAGAGGACAGCAACGACAACAATAGACAATCGTAAAAGATGTGTACAAATGTATTTTTTTTTACAAGTGAAGCTAAAATGGTAATTAAAAGGAAAAGGAAAACAAACAGCTAGATTGTAAGGTGGTGTAGAATACTATACCATACCATTTTATTTATAGAGCACTTAAAACGGCTACAAGGCCAACCAAAGTGCTGTACAGACAG